AACCTGTGAGCCATTTCCTTAGCCTGAGACTGGAGCTAGAGAGGCTAAGGGTGAGCTCACGTGTCTCTGGAGAGGGCGGCACCCCCTTTCTGACTCTGTGCCCAGAGCTGGAGCTCAGGTGGAGATGGGTCTCAGAGTAGAGTGCCCACCCATAGCATCTTTCCCTGTCGCCTCTCACGAGAACCAGTGTTCAGAGCTCCAACTTGCTGACCCCACCGGGGGCACTGGGCCCTGCCCAGGTGCCATCCTCTCTGGGAGGCCAGTCCGTCAGCAGCAAGAGGACCTCAGCACCACTGTGTTCCTCAGACCAGGTGCCAGCGCTCAAGAAAGCATCCCCCACCTGAGAACGTGACACAGGCTCACACTCACCCTTCAGTTCTTGTTAATGTGACTTAAATACACGAGAAGATTTTTAAGGATGAGGGATGGGCCGGAAGGCTTGATCGATTGGTTGCAGCAGCAAACACTTTTCTAGGAATGAGCAGGCTCCCCTGGACCGGGGCAAGGGTGGAGTAGGAAGAGAGTGTCCTTCTGCTGGTGCTGGGCCAGCATCTCCACCGCCTCTCTGGGTGCAGAGCATTATGTCCGGCTCCTTCCTCCCTCTGAGATCGTTCTTAACATTCCTGCCTGAGATTAGTGTGAGAGGTGGAGACCAGTGTTGTCCTTGCACAGAGCGTGGCAGTCTGATTTCTTTCCTTTGGCTACGCCTTATCCATCTTCAGCTTCACATCTTCCTGGGCCAGTATGTGGCTACTCCAGGACCTAGTTATGTCAGGTGCCTTTGGGCCTCGACGTGTTTTGACCTCTCTAGTTCAACCACAAGGACATCAGCTATTATATCATTCCTTTTACTTCAGTGGTCCTGCTGTGTCCTATCAGCTGTCTTCCAACCAGCATCTTCTCCAGGCCGGTGCAGTCTCATTCTGTCCTTAGATCGCCAGTCACCTCTCAGCCTTTTGTATAAACTTTCCAGATGTGGTTCCCACAGAGAGATGGCTCCACCAGGAGCAGGGGCAAAAGGAACAGGTCCCTTTAAATAGCTCATCCTAATAAATTGCAGCATTCCTAGTAAGCATCTTCCTCTCTTCAGCAGTGGCAATTACAACTTGGCATTTTATTTCATAATTTCACAAGAGGATAACCTTTGGACCCAGGCCCTTGTGACAGTGCAGGCTAAGCAGGAGGCTGTCCCTGTCTCTGCCTGGGCCGTCATTTTACACAAGTGAAAGGTCACATTGCGTTTTGAGCTGTGCTACATTCCTTCCTAATCAGTTACCTTGCTCAGTGGGGCCCCAGAGCAGTGCCTGGGAGAGCAACCTCCTGAGCCGTTCTGGCAGTAACGAGCCGAAAATACGACGTGTGATCAAAATATAAGGTGACACTGTCACTGAGTGCCATTCATGGCGAGGCAGGCTCATAAAAACATGATGCTGTGTCCTCATCCACCCTGTTAACCAGATCTGGCACTGTGCACCTCTCCCGGCTCTTCCCCAAAGCCAGCATGACCCGCAAAGGTCTACGTTTTGAGTCCATTCTGGACATTGAAGCAGCCAGGAGAGACAACTGAAGATACTGAGAGGACTTTAGAACTGCTCCAGATAATGGCAAGAATGATGGGCTAAGTTGTTTGAACCAAGGGGGAGGGTTAGAGGGGGATTAACAGCAGTGTGTCTTTTACAGTAGTAAAAATTTTAAAATTTAAACATTCCCTATAGGGCCAGTAATCTAGCTTAGTGGTTCCGCCACCTTCCTTACAAGTTCAAGGTCCCGAGTTTGATCCCCGGTACCAAAAAAAGAGAAAAGAAAAGAAACATTTGTTATATTGTTGATCACATCTCATGAGTGAAAGCATCTCAGCTTCCTGTGTCCTGGTTCCAGACCCTAAGTGGCAGGGAAAGTGCTCAGCTTATGGAGGGGCTCATTAAGAGGGAGTGGGAATCTGCAGGAGGCACCGAAACATCCAGCTCTGCCTCCCAGGGCGTCCCTGTCCTCTGGAAGTGCACCCCGCAGGCATGGGGCTCTTTCTGAGCAGGCCAAGGGGAGCAACCAGGGACCCCAGGCAGGCGCTGGGGCACAGGGCAGGAGGCCATGGCTTCCACCAGGCCCGTCCAGCAGCTGCTGAAGGTGGCCTTGGGCTGCTGCTTGCAGAGCAAATAGGACTTGGTTGCCTTGCAAGCCCAGAGGATACACAGGACCTTCCTCGCACTGACAAGCCGGATGGATGAATGGCTTTTCTTACCATCAGTTGTTTCATAAGTTACAGTGAAATCGCTATCAGTTCCTCATTTCCTTTCCTCGCAGTCTGCATCGGCCAGCCTCTTGCTGCGTCCCGCAGTTCTTTTTCTCACTGAAGGTCTGTGGCCTTTCTGTGGGCCCTGTGTGGTAGCAGCAGGGCTACACCCTGCATCTCTGTTCAGAGAGGAGTCAGGCGCGTGGGAGGGAGAGTGACGTGGGGGGCTCTCCAGTCAAGCCGACGGAGGTTCCAGTCCCACAGCACTGACTCGTCCGGTGATCTTGGGCTAATGTTTCTACTCTCTCTAAGCTTCTGTTTCTTCAACAAAAAATGGGAACAATTCTACTTAACATATTGGGCAGTTATGAAAAATAAACTATTGCCATGACAGGAAAGGATGGTGCTTCCATGTGGCCATCGTTGATGTTATTGAAAGTGGTCCTTGAGGCCACCATGCGTCCTCGAAGCCTTCCCGTCTCCTAGCCAAATGCCCTGGTCCTGCAGAACGTGCAGATTCTCTGCAGCGGATGGTATACCCTCCTGTCTCTGTCTGGTGAGGACTTTGCTTTACCATGCCTAAGAGCTGCCCTGGGTCATGGCTCTTGGGGCGGAGGAGATGGACCAAAGGAAAGCCTAAAATGGCTAGAAAAAACGTGTGCCACAGGTGTCCCCAGGATCAGGTGCTCAGCCCTTGACATCCCATCGTGACTTCTTGGTAGCTGCAATTTCCGCTCCTGTGCTATGTTATCTTTTTAAGGTCAGCATCAGGGTCTTTCCACGTGTTTCTGCTCTGTGTCCTTCACTAGGGCAGGATTCCAGAAGGCCAGCAGAGTCACCGCAAAGGCTTCCAGACATTCAGACTCCCGGGTTATCAGCCTTCCTGACTTCTGGGTTGTTACTCTTGTTATTGTTGGTTTTTAGGTCCAGGAAGGAAACGGTCGTTTTACTCCTCGAGTGTGGGGGTGGCACGGCACAGGTCTCAGGATCACGTTTGCCCGGCAGACCCACCTTCCTGTACCTCTTTCCCGCCAGGGTCAGAGCAGCCTGGCTGGTTGGGTTCTTATCACTGTAGTTTTTTTCTTTTCTAGAAGAGTCGTGAAGAATGTTAAGTAAGGTTTTGTTTCTGCATCACAAAGGAAAATGGGACAAGTAACAAGTGAGTCAGCTTTTCTTGACTCTTAAGCTGTGATTTCCTCCTAAACTAATTTAGAGAATAGCTATTGAGTTCCACAAACATCCTGGAATGTGTTCTGTAAGCCAATCCCTGCACAACGGTGAGTGAAGGCCAAGATGCCGGAGTCGTGGGCTTGTCCTCAGAGGGCTGCCGCAGGGGCCTGTGCTCACAGAGCTGTAGTGCTCTTGTTCGCTGGGCTGGCAAGAAAGGACGGCAGAGAGCAAAGGGGAGAGCTGGCCTTCTGGAGTGGGCCGGAGCATTCCTTTCTTTCTCCATCCCTGCCTACCCTCAGGGCCTGGCCCAAGTCCTCCTCCCCCAGGACGTGTTCTTTGCTTCAGCGAGGTCTCTGCTGTCCTGACTCCGGATTCCTACAGCCTGGGAGATGTTTCCCACACAGTCTCATCCTGGCAGCATCTCGGCCTCACCAGGCACACCATAGCCTCCCTGTCTTCAAAAACGAGGCATCCAAGGTTCAGAAAAGTAAAATAAGTTTCCCAGCCACAGAAGTAATCAGCAGCCAACCCTGAATTTGAGCTCCGGTGTGTGTTCCCGGGCCAGGTACACCCCCCGACCCATATGGCGTTGTTCCTGTTTAGGTGCTAGCACCCATGCCTCCCTCCCGTTCGTAGTCACTGCCTGTCCCTCGTGGAGGCCAGGGCCCAGCCTGCTTGATGTCTGGCCCCTCCTGGCATTGACACCACAGGAGCTTGGTCAGGCAAGCTGTGTGAAAGACAAGGGGATGAATTTAGCTTGTGCTGCTCCCCCTGTGCCTGGCCAGACTTTGCCTCCCTCCTCCTCTCCTCTGCCCCAAGCCATGTGGAGCAAACAGCTGTCATGTACTAGGTAGCAGGAGACTGGTAACTAGGGTTCCTTTTGTCTTGTGGACAGTGCATTAAAAGCATGTTTGGTATCTAAGGCCTTCGTGCTGATTTCCTCCAGGTCTACATCTTGACACCTTGCTGGATTTGCAGAACATCCTAGCGAGGACCTAAGAAGACGATGTCTTTCATCTTTCTCATCTGTGGGGCATTTACCCCCGTTCTCCAAGAAGAGAAACCACCTGGGTGTTTTGAGTCTTAAGTAGGGTATCCACACATGTATGATCCAAAGCAGCTATTTCTTGGCTTTTTGTTTTGTTTTGTTTTTCAAAGCAGATTTTTGAGAGTGAAATGGTGCACTGTTGGCACTCGTACCTACACACTGGAGCTCAGGCCACCCAGTTCTAAGTAAAATGGGTGTCTGCAGTTGGAAGGGAAGATAGGGGCAACAAGTGTAAAGAAGTCTAGCACAGAGCGGGTGCTGGTTGGTGAAGGGCCAGGGCCTTTGTTTCTAGCAGTAACTTTGTATCATTCAGCAACAAAAAGCCTTTCTCTACTCTCTATTTTATCTTCTGTCAGTGCTTGAGCCTTCCATCCTGTGTGCCTGCTGTCTTGTTATCTTTTTTATTTGTTTGCTTGTTTGAAACAAGGTCTCATTCTGTTGCCCAGGCTGTCCTTGAACTCACAATCCTCCTGTCTCAGCCTCCCAAGCAACTGGGATTATAGGCATGTGCCATCACACTTGGCCTTACTGTTTTTTCTTTCTACCCTCCAGATATCCTCAGGATCATTCAGCTTGACCTGGACCTAAAGTATAAGACCAACATCCGGGAGTTGTTTGAGGAGTTTGACAATTTCCTGCCAAGTGCCATCATTGGCATAGCCAGAGAGATGCAGCCCGTGTACAGGTAGGTGGTGGCTATGGGGGCAGCCCGGGACCTTTCCTACCCCACCCTCTGCCACCATAGGAGGTTGGTATGGACCAGCATGCGGTTTTCCTGTGCTTTGTGTCTGTACTCACTGCTCACAGTCGATAGCATGCTCCCATGCCAGAGATGCTACCTCATTAGCTTGGAGGCCTTTGTGACATTTTTCTTCTAGAAAACCTAGTTGTTTGGGTTATTGGCTCTGGTTAAGCTCAGAATTTTAAAACCTTGGGCTTTGACAGAGGTGGCCTCGGGATTTATCCTCCATTCTAGTGACCAGCAGGTCTTTCTTGGCCCTGGAATCACCATGCCCCTTATCCTGTGTAAGCAGAAGTTGATGAGAGGGACCGAGGGGAAAGACACTGCCACCGTGGGACTTGGGATTGGCAGGAGCGGTGCAGGTGAAGTGGCCCTGGGTGCACAAGGCAGCATTGCGTTGTTCGTGCTGGTGACAGAAATGCCAGCACCCAGGAGCCGAGAGACGCGTTCAGGAATATTTCTACAGTGACATTTGTTGTAGCCCCAAACTGAAAACAACTCATATCCTCTGGACAGTGGAATGGATGGATGAAATGCATGAATCCAGTCAAGAACTCCACAGTAAAAATGAGCAAGTAGTCGCTACACATGATGACAGGCAAAACTGAACAGTGATCTTTAGTGACACAACCACAAGTGCTAAACTGGCAGGGAAATCCAAGGAGGTGACCCTATAGCTGCTGAAGGCCTGGGGGCCGCAAGCAGGACTGTGCTTTACTTTTCCACTGAGGTGGTGATGTACACATTGTACATGTTGTTTTGGGGTGTAATATGCCTTTTTCTTATTTTTGAAAAGGGGTAGGGGAAGAGCAGCAGAAGCAGGTTGCTGTTAACAAGGCCTTGGCCCGGGATCTCTGTGTTGCCGACTCCTCCTCCAGCCCGTGGAGTGACCAGAGCGGCCGAAGGGTGCTGAAAGGAGCCGGGATTCCGCCGTCCCAGGACGTGCAGGTCCTTTGTTCTCTGTGCAGCTCCCAGCGTGGGCTCCCTGGGTCAAGACCCACGTCACTGGGGCACAGGCAGCCAGTGACTCAGATATGAGCTTCCTTTTGGAGGGAGGGGACAGAGACAGCCTCAGTGTGGTGATGGCTGTTTGAAAGTCCCAGATCACACAACAGGAAATTCCTGCAAGACCTCCAAATGTGCTGATAACTCCGGTCTTGGGGGCTGTTCCTCCTGACGTAATCCTCTCCAGAGGTGTCCCGGAGTCACAGGTGGGTCAGAAGGAGGAGCCGGAGCCAACCCTGCCATCTTGACTATGGCTGATTCCCATCTTGTCTCTGACTTTCCTAGGTGTATCTTATGCAGAGGTCCTTGATCAGCAAAGGGAGGGGATAGAAGGAGCATTAAATGAGAAGTTCTAGGTGCTGGAGTCCTAGCTCTGCCACCCACCACCCTTCAGGCCTTCTACAATGGGAGCAGCTGTGCTCTAAGACCTCTGCTCCCAGCTCTGGCATTGATGATCACAGCTTCCCACCCCTCCTGTCCTCCCCGCACCGCAAGCTGTGCATCTGCACGTAGCTCTGGGGCTCTGGAAGACCCATGGCCCTGGATGGTTCCATGGGGCTCATTAGTAAGCACAGCAGAGCAGGATGCCTATGAGCTCTGGCTCAGAATCTTCTCACGTCCTCTAAGTGGAAACCTGGAAACCACATCACTTCATTTAGACAGTACTGGCCAGATTTTATATTTTCTGCAGGTCTAGGTTTTATAAACAGTGCAACTTAAACCAATATAATGGTCTAGCCTTCCCAAAAGAAAATCCAAAAGATTATAGATTTTTAAAAAATGAAATGAGTTTTTCTCACCTTCAGAATTCGTAATTACTGCAGTGTTCAGTGCCAGCGGTGGGAGCTCTGCTCCTGGGAGAGGCTGAGAAGGTGGATGGTGGGGCCTGGAAACACAGCACCAACAGACACAGACTGCTGGCCGCACTCCCTCCCTTCGCTCTCACTGAACGGTGGTCCCCAAAGACCTCTACTGACTCAGGCTGCCCTTGATCGCTGTGCATCCTGCTGGCTCAGGGGAACTGGTTTCTAAAGTTTGCAGTTTTGGGATTCTCCGAGGCCGAGGATGGTGTGGCACCGGCCTCAGCAGACAAGGAGTGGAGCACAGTTTTCCCAGAAGATCAGTGTTGGTTGTCTGCTGCTTCAGGGGTCGGAGGGTGGGACTGGAAAGGGAGAGCGTGAGCAGGGTCCCGGCCTCCTGTCACAGTGTATGGGGACCCATGTCAATCAAGGGCTCTCCCAGAGGGGCGGAGTGTGCCGAGGAGAAGTTAAGTACTCTAAGCACAGTCTGATAGCAAGAAGGGACAACTGAAAACTGCAGCAGGCAGCACTAGAGCACGACGTGGCTGGGTAGGCAAGCACTTTTTGGTCTGGAAATTCACTAAGCTGCAATAGATTTGGAATTGCCCCCACTGTGTCATTTTTTATAGTCACTTGTCCCACGGTCACTGCACTTCAAACGGGCACATGTCAAGGCATTTTTATGGCTGTTTCCTGTCTATTGTGTGCTGTGAATGCCCGAGGCTTGGGGGTGGGTGGGAGAGAACTATTTCCCACTGTCTACTTGACAGATGGCTTTTTTAAAAAAAAAAAGTCTTTTTTCCTGCAAAGGTACATTAAACTAAGCTTGTTTTCTGGACAAGATGCAAGGATTTGGGATATTGGGATCGTCGTAGAGGATGCCTTCTTTCTTGGGTCACTGTTAAGATTCTGTAGGGTCCAACGTCCTATGACCTTTGTCATCCCAGAGTGGTGTGCCAGTCCTCTTGGGTGGCTCACTGCCACCTTCTCTGACTCTTTCTTTGCTTCTTCATCAGCAACCAGGGTCCCATCCAGATTGTCCATGGTGAAGTGTTCGGTTGGGGGAAGTGGCCAAAAGGAGAGAAGAGCCCAGGGCCTTTTTTTGTAAATCTGCAGTTATAATTTTTGAACACACATCTTGTGAACTTGCTTCTTTATGAATGTGTTAGGAAAGTCCAGAAGACTATGGGATCATCTTTATGTATATCCTGTAAAAACTATAAAGGCATCCTGTAAAAATTATTACCAGCAGGTGAAACAGCGTGGTGTAGAAGAAATGGCTCCAGGCTTTCCTCAGAAATAACAGCCACGGCCCATGCTGTAGGCCCCTTGATTCTAAGACTTTGTGTTTGCTCATCTGTGAGAAAGACAGATATATCTAATGCACGCAGTGCTGGAAAACTGAGATGAAATAGATTTGGAATCTCCAGGAGAATGGAATTTCTTGTGTGAGAGTAGAGTGTTCTTCCCTTAATCCTCTCAGCTCTTTTTTGGGTTTTATTTCCCAGAGAACTTGTTCTTCTGGATGCCTCCTTCTCTGCCCAACCCTTGGCCACTTGGGGTGGCCACGCAAGCCACGGGACACCAGTTCCACTGAACTGCATAGGACCAGCAAGTACCATTTGGTGTAATAAGCATGCTCCAGATACCGCATGGTATTATTTATCGTTTATCTGTTGTTTAAATTCAGCAGAATATCCTGTTTGTTTGGTCCTGAACCTGGCAGCCCTTCCCCTACTCAAGTGTAAAACTTCACATGTTCACAGATGGCAGCAATCTGGCTTGAGTGGGTGACAGATAGTGCAGGCAGGAGGCAGCCCTCTGTGTTTCTGGGCACACCGGGCCCAAGTGTGTGTCCCTGTCGCTGCAAGAGTGAAGGCCCATTAGTCGTGCAGGTCATCTGGGGGGCCAATAAGCCTGGGCTGCAGGTCACCAGGCTCCTGCTGACCCTGGAGAGAGGTAGAGAGAGCACGAGGAGCCAGTGTGAAGCCTGAGTCAGGGTCTCGCTGCCCTGAGCAGCTACTTGAGGAGCCTCTGATCGGTGGCTTCGTTGGTGGGGGCGGTGGCTTCTGGTCCCATCTTCCCCATTCCGCAGGCTCCCTATGTGCTGGAGATAGCCCGGGCCCACCAGGCCAAGCCAGCAGCAAGTGGGTCCTGTCAGCTGCATGCACAGGCCAGGCAGGCATTTGCTTTTGCATTAGGCGTTACAGTAGCAGCCGCTCTTCTGCCTTCTGAGGCCTTGTAGTTTATTATCCACAGTGCTGTGCCAGCCTCACCTCCTTCCTGATACTTGGAATGAAAATGTCCCCCTGGCTTTTCTGCAACTGCTTATCCCGTCCTAGGACTGGTGCAGTGAGCTCAGGGAGTGTCGGAAGCAAGGGATGATGTGACCGTCATCCCCCACGCCACTCTATGGCTGTGTGATCTCGGATACCTATCTTGCCCTCTCTGAGCATTAGAGAAGTGGAGATTATATCGCACTGTATATTGCTGAGTGGATGCGGGTTAAATTAGATGATAACTCCTAGTGCCTGGCACAAAGCAGCCCTCTAGTAGCAGTGGTGGTCACTACTCCGAGTCTCTGCTTTGCCACTGATAAGTTCTGTGACTCTAGAAAGACACTACCTCAGAGACTCAGCTTTATGTAAAATAGAGGCTTCTGCTAGCATAATTCGTGCTAATCTGAATTCCCTTCCTAAGTGCCAGGAAGGCCCCGCTCTGCCCCCACCCGCTAAAGAAATTCCCTTTGTGAATTTAGTGTCTGTGCGCGTCAGTTCATATACTTTAACTGTGTACCTTAAATATTATACTGCATTTGCCAAACAGAAACTGACCGTATCACGAGGAGAAAAGAACTAGTCCACAATAACAAGAAAATCTTAATACCCCAAGGGGAACGTGGAAAGCGGAGACTAGAAGAGGTGAGGCGTTCAGATAGACATTGCAGTTGGGGCAGCGCAGGAGGCAGAGAGGACCCGCGTCCGGCTTCCTCAGTCCCATGCTGCGTGTTTTGGTCACGCGGGGAGGGTGCGCATCTGGCCGCTCTGCTTCCTTCTGGCTCCAGTGTGTGGCTCTGGCCCATGGAGGAGTCTGTCTCAGTTTTTGAGCCCTGTGTCCTTTCCCTCGCTTAGATTAAAC